CTTCTCTGTGTAAAATTCAGGTCACAGGCCTCATTCTCCTAGAGCGAATACTAAGACTGGATAGAGTTCACCTTGCTACCAGACTCAGGAAAGAGATAAACTCATAGAACAGATTTCAGTGTAATTTTTTTTACCATTCTTTTGTTTAAAGGAACTTACTTTGCAGTGACTGCTCTCAGTGGCCAGCCACCTGTATTTACCAGTGAATTAGACAGAAGGTGCTTTAACTTTGTTTATGTGAAGATAGAAAAGCTTAATTGATGATAAAGAGAAAAAGATTTAAGTTGTATAAAAAAATAAGACATATTCCAAATTCTTCTTTCTCATTATGTTACTGTCTATAACCTAAACACTAACTGATAGAATTCTGTTTAGTTGTTAATCAGGCTCTGGCAGAGTACTACCCACTATACTATACCACTATATTATCATAGACATAGGCTCACGATTTTAGATTCCCTTTGGTTGTTTTCTAACTATAAATTTAAAAGGTACTTTTCATTGTGCTAAAAATGTCTGTCATACTTTTCGCCAAGATGGCGCGGAAAGCGAAGAAGGAAGCACCTGCCCCTCCCAAAGCCGAAGCCAAAGCAAAAGCCTTGAAAGCCAAGAAGGCAGTGCTGAAAGGCGTCCACAGCCATAAAAAGAAGAAGATCCGCACGTCACCCACCTTCCGGCGGCCCAAGACCCTGCGGCTCCGGAGGCAGCCCAAATACCCTCGGAAGAGCGCGCCCCGGAGAAACAAGCATGACCACTATGCCATCATCAAATTCCCTCTGACCACTGAGTCAGCCATGAAGAAGATAGAAGACAATAACACACTTGTGTTCATTGTGGACGTCAAGGCCAACAAGCACCAGATCAAACAGGCTGTGAAGAAACTCTATGACATTGATGTGGCCAAAGTCAACACCCTCATAAGGCCTGACGGAGAGAAGAAGGCGTATGTTCAGTTGGCTCCTGATTATGATGCTCTGGATGTTGCCAACAAAATTGGGATCATTTAAACTGAGTCCAGCTGGCTAATCCAAATACACACCTTTTCACCATTAAAAAAAAAAAAAAAAAAATGTCTGTCATAGTTTTCTGGACAGAAGAAAAAGTGTTAATAGTTTAGCCAAAATAATTTCTGACAAGAGTATACTGCTATTTCTAAAATATAGATTTCAATATAGGTTATAAACAATGGAAATGTTAACATGTCTAAAACTTACATCTTTTCACAGACTCAAAGAGTTCATATAAACGTCAGAGAACTGAGACAGTCCTAAGATTTACACCCACTTCTCACATATGAAAAGGACTCCTGGTAAGTACAGCTTAAATTTCCCTACCTGTCTATGCCTGAGGATGCTGTGCTCTTCCTCTCCTGTCCTGAGATTTCTTCCCTTCCCAGTTACTAGGACTATGGGCCTGGAAGTTCCAATTGTAATTTTGTTTCCTTTAAATTCCTAAATTTTAACTTTGGTCTCCAGTCTGTATCTGTTTCAGTAGGTTTGCACTCAGCTGACAGACACATCCAGGCACCAGCTGCTGACTTCAAGCTATGAGCCCTGAATTTGCTAAAAGCTGATATGGACTAACCCAGCTGATATGAATGTTCCTTGTCTCCAGCTGGGTCAAATCAGATGCCTCTGGAAAGGTTCCCTCCCATTGCTTCAATTCCCTCTGCACCTTTAATTGGCTTTTCAGTCTTCCTGGGCCCTGACTTCTATGCCCAGTTTCAGCTTGAAGTAACTATAGAAGAGAGTACACGTCCCTACCCCTGAAACAGGCTAAGTAAAAAACAAACAAACAAACAAACAAACAAAAAGAAAACAAACAACAACAACAAAAAACAAAAACAAAACAAAACAAAACAAAACAAAAAACAAATTAGCTACCTGTAATGTAATGCCTATTAACATACCAGAAAAAAATATCTATTAAAAACAAACTCGGCTAACAGATAGTCATTTACTAAAACAATTCTATAATACAATAAGACACTCAGCCTACTCTAAACAAAATGTTAAATGACTTTAAGATGATCAAAATGAATCAAAGATTTGATTCTGGTAATAACTCAAGGGGGTGGATGAAGGGTTCAAGAATATCAAAATATAAAATTGTAAGCCCAAACACATTTTGGAAAAAGTATATAAAGCTTGCAGCCACTGTTAACCTTTAACAACCACTTTCTTTCTTAAGAGCAGCCACTGTGTACAGAGGTAAACTTTTAATAAGTATTTTCTGCCTCCCAGCATCTCAGTTAGACAGGTATGGCAGACAAGGTTAGCTTCTAATTATTGCCTGTTTGGGACCCTCGGTATTGTTTCTTTAATTTTTAACTATCCTCCTATGTGACTCTACTCTTTGCCTTACATTCTTTCAGGGATGTTGAGAGCTGCTGAGACAGTCACATGCTTTTGCAAACATCTTAACATCCTACAAGCAAATGTAAAACTTTAACCCTGACCTCAAGGTTGTAAAAGCTCTTTTACCCACACCTGGTGCTTTATTTTACTATAAGAAGAGGCCTGAAACCAGCGCCCATTGCCATAGTTTCAGAAGTCAGATCTCTGGATGTGGTACTAATTTAACTGGTAAGCTTTTGTGCTCTTGGTGACTTTTTTTTTTAAATTTTTGAGTAAAGGTTGCTTCTGGTCCTTCCCCATTATTTACATGTCTCCCGGGCCCCACAAAATCCATCCCTTTGGAGTCTTCTTTTGGAAGTCTAAGCTCTACCCCACAAGGTTCACCAAATTAAAAAGAGATGACAGCCAGAACAGAACTGATAGCCAGAACACTGGATATGTGGAATTATGTTGCCAAACACTGAGGGTTCTGAGGAATGCCCCCCTCTCTCTGTGTGTGTGTTTAAATCTTAAGAATTTATCTTGTGTTGTTTCTCAACAAATACAGTGGCTGCCCCTTAAGCAACTGTTGTCCTAATCAGCAACTATAACTCCTCAGCTACCAGCAGTGGTCAGGTCACAAGGACAACAGGGCAACAGCCTGCAGGAAATCTGTTTCCCCAAGCTCTGGCTCTCTCAAGACCACTAAGGGAAATTTTGTCTGGATCTCTACTCCTCTACTGAACTCAGGATTCAAAGGGTAAGGTGAATTCTGCTTGCTCAGAGAGGCTGAATTTCTGATAAGGTGTGGAATATCTTTTGCTTTTGCATACTGAACTAATATTGCCTGTAATCGGGGGAAATTGGTGTACTTTAAGTATAATTTTGAGTATAATGTCTTGCTGGCATTCAAACCTGGACTCTCCCTCAATTTCTCTGTCAAATTTCTAAACCAAGATTGTTGAGGAATATTATTTTAAGGTGTGTTACATTTTTCCTACTGCTTTTGTTAACAATGCAAAAACATGTTCCATTTGTTTGATTGGGGTCAAGAGACCGAGTCAGCAACTAACTGACAGGAAGTGGTAGGGAGGAGCTTTGTGTAGTGAAGGTTCTTCAGTGTGGAGACAGCAGAAGAACTCAGCGCTTGTGGGAGCCAGAGCAAGGAGACAAGGTTAGTTATTTGTGATTCAGCCTCCAGTTGTCTTCAGAATAGGACAGGGCTCCTATGGGTATCAACCAGCCATAACATGCCACATTTGAGGTAAAATTTGCTTCTTTAAGGTTGATGAAACCTCAAAGTATTGATGGCATAACTTTTTCAAATAGGCTTGGCAAAGAAATTGTCCCAGGGTTCATTTACTAAGTAATATTATCTGGAACAACTTAATGTGTACTCACTAGATGTTGGCAAATCTAAAAACTGGACAACTCTTTTGTGAGCATTGTAATATCTCATAACATATGGCAATAAAGAGATTCAATGCCTAATTTCAGACATGAAGTGTTCACAATTTATTAAGAGCAAGAGAGATCAAAGGGAAAGAGGATAGGCTCATGACAATCCTGAATGTCAGCCTGGACACAGGAGACCTGTCCTGTGTCTTCTGGTGTCTACATTAGCTTGGGTGACGCTGGGATTCCCTGCTCTCTGTCCTTCCTTTCATGGCTCTCAAGATCTTTCTAAGAGCAGACATCTTCTAGTCTTCACACCATTTAATCCATCAGGAGCTTTGCTGATCCTTGAAAGGCAGCAAAGGCCTGGGCTGCAATGTTCACATGTAACCCCAGTGTCTAGGAAGGGTGACACAGGGCAGTTACACGAGGTTAACCTGGGATGTGTAAGTGTAGCATGTTCCCAAGAAGTAGAAAAGCTGTCATGTTTAGAAAGTATGCTGTTCCAGTGTTCTCACACAACCTTTCTTTCTTCCCCTGCCACCTCCTTCTCTTTGTCTTCCTTTGGTATTGAATCCTGGGCATAGTGCAAACTTGAAATCAATGCCCACACCCCACTAACTGCATCCCAGTAAGCAATACCCTTTGGGTATATTTTTTTTCTATTGACATGGTCTTATTGTGTCCCCAGGCAGGTCTTGGACTTTGGATCTTCCAAATCAGTTATCTTTCTAGTTAGAATTAGTAATCTGAACTGAATTTCATTTAGGAATAGCATACATGGACCAAAGGAAAGACAGGCAAATGTAATGATTTTTAAGTAACATTAGCAATTCCCTACAGACTTGAGGCTGTTTCATAGAACAAGTAAAAGTATAAGAGGCTGCAGGAAGAGTGAGACTTCTAATCACAGAGACAGAAGCAAAGGGAATGCACCCATAGAATCATGGGTAAATCACCATCACACAGAGAGACCTTAAACTCTGTTTTCAAACATCACTCTGACTTTATTCCTTCAGGGGGCAGTTCGGGGAACAGGCATAGAGAACAATGTTTCTCTTGTAACAAGAGATTCTTAGTGCTGCCCCAAATTAAACATTAGGAAAGAAGAGAGTGCACTCCATCTGGAGGAATAACGGGACCTCTCTGGACTTTGAAACCTATCTCCCTCAAGGCCACCCTCTCTGTCTGTCTCCTCATTTCTAGAGCACCCAGCAGGAAGCAGCAGTCCCTCTTACCCTCCCCGTTTTAGTTTCAAATTAAACTCACCAGAGTAGAGTTTTTTCTTTAAATTCCTCCAGACTTTGCCTTCTAAATTTGTTCTCACACCTTCAGAGGACAACCAAGAGATTCCCGACTCTGTGGAGAGGAGCAAATTGAGGCCACAGTAAGTGTTCTGAGGATTCGGTCACTAAATATGATCTCTGGTGAGCCAGAAGAGAAATGAAAGTTAAGACTTTGAGGGCTGGAACTGAGAAAGAGAAACTACAGAGCTCTCAGCCAATGAGGTGCCACCACATTGATATGTGTATTCTACCATCAGAGGGAGCCAGTTGCCCTGAGTCAGCTCTGTCTTCCAGGAGCCTGCCACATTTTTCAGTGTTCAAGGAACTTGTCAAGTCACCTACCTCTTCAGGCTCTTGTCAGAATCACCTTAAAAGATCCTGACCTTTGGGAAAGCTGCCCCGATGGAAAGTCTTGTCCATGGGCTCTTTTTCCACAAGAGCCCCTGACTGGGTTTTGCTTTGGGTGGCAGATGCGGCCTAATGAGAAGGAAATACAAGGCGAGGGACAGAGAACTGCAGTGTTCCTCTGGAGTTGGGCACTTACAGGATGAGAAAAGGAAGAAAGCTACAGTTGAGGGCAGCTGCCACACAATCAAGGCTTCCCACCCAGCAGGGACAGGATGGGGAGGATCCCCTGCAGAGCCATGCAGGAACATTTCACCATATCCACAGCAGTTAAATTAGCAAGTTGCAGAGCTCTCCAGCTGCCCAGTGCTGTCATACAGATTATATCTTCTGTTGCTGAACAAATGAAGTCATCTTCACACTGATACATTCATTGCATGCCTTCCAGGAATCCCTCACCAGAATGTCTCAGAAGTCCACATTTGAGTTTTGGGTTTCTGTTTTATGACCTCAGATATTGCCTTATCATCCCCTGAATTAGAAGTTGAAAATCTGTAGACCTGGTAATGTAGTTCAGTTGGTACAGAGTGTATCTAGCAAGAGTAGAGCTCTGTGGTTGATTCTCAGCACTGTATAAAACTATTTATGGTGGCACATGTAAGTAGTCTGTCTGCTTTGTTACTTGTTTTATTGCTGTGTGTCTTAGTATCAGTTTTTATTGCTGTGAAGAGACACCAGGACCACATGACCTCTTTCTTTATAAAAATTTTACATACTTGTTCCAGTTCTCCCTGTCTCCCCTTCCCCTGCTCCCCGCTTCCCCCATTCCTCCTCCCATCTACTTATCAGAGGGGGTAAGGCTTTTCTTTTGGAGTCAACAGAGTCTGATATACCAAGTTGAGGCAGGACCAAATCCCAGCCGTCTGTATCAAGGCTGAGAAAGGTATCCCAGCATAAGGATTGGGGTCCAAAAAGCCCATTCATGCACCCTGGATAAGTCCTGGCCCCATTGCCAGCCCCACCAAACAGATCAAGCCACATAAGCGGCACCCATAGTCAGAGGGCTTAGCTTGGTCCCATGCTGGATCCCCAACTGTTAGTCCAGAGTCTATGAGCTCCCAGTAGCTTGGGTCAATTGTCTCTTTGGTTTTCCCAATCAGATCTTGACCCTCCTTGATCATGTGAACCCTCTTCAGCTGAACTCTAGTTTGGTCCACTGCTTGGTGGTGGATCTCGGCATCTGCTTGCATCAGTTGCTGGATGAAGTTTTTTTTTTTTTTTTTTTTTTTTTTTTTTATGACTATTAGGGTAGTCACAGTCACAGTCACTAATCTGATTACAGGGAAAGGCCAGTTCAGGTACCCCTCCACTATTGTTAGGGGTCTTAGCTGGGGTCATCCATGTGGGTTCTGTATTGACTACACACAATCTGTTCCACTAATTGGGCGAAGGCCTAGAGATTGAAATAAGGGACATGTCAGCAGGGCCTTCATTCAGCAAGAATGCTGGAATGACGACTGCCATTTTTGAGGGGAAGGAATGGGCTTATAGACTGACTCACAGCACAGTGGGTTTAGAGTGTAAGGTTTTAGGCTTAGCTCCTCCCCAGCAGATGTGTATTAGCAAACCTTGGGCAAGAAAACAGGAAGAGTACCAATAACAACTTTGGGGGGGGGGCAAGATGTTCCAGCCAACAGCTTCAGACTTGTTCAAGGTGTCTTGGGGGTCCATGCAGGGCCCTACAGGTTCTTGGAAATTTCCCTAGCACCTGGTTTCTCCCTAACTACATAAAGCTCCCTCTATCAAGATATCTCTTTCATTGCTCTCCCTCTCATCTCTCCCCCAACTTGGCCATCTCTATCCCTCATCTTTCTAGTCCCCACTCCCTCCCTTCTACTCTTTAGCCCAGCATACTCAGAAGATTTTAACTATTTCCCTTTTCTTGGGCCCTCCAGAACACACAGACCCTTATAAATAAAAACATGTAATTACAGCAGGCTTTCAGTTCAGAGGTTCAGTCCATTAGCATCATTTCAGTAAGCATGATAGCATGTAGGCAACCTCACACTGGAGAGGTAGCTGAGCCCTCTACATTAGCGTCAGCAGGTAGCAAGAAGAGTATGCCACTGGGCATAGCTTGAGCTACTAAAATCCCAAAGCCCCCCCCCCCCCCCCACTGACACACTTCCTCCAACAGGGCCAAACCCTACTCAAACAAGGTCATATCTCCTGATAGTGCCACTTCTTAAGAGCCAATTGAGCCATTTTCATTCTAACCATCACACTGTGACAACCACCATGACTGAGGTACCTTATAAGGAAGGTGTTAGATTTGGGGCTTACAGTTTCAAGGGCTTAGAGGCCATGGCCATCACAGCAGGCAGGGAAGCACAGTGCTTATGATGGCTATTCTTGGTTGTCAACTTGAGTGCGTCTGGAATTAACCAAAACCCAAATGATTAGGTACATATGAGAGATTTTTTTTCTTAATTAAATCATTTGAAGTGGGAAGACCCACTTCTAATGCAGATCTTTGAGGTAGGAAGATATACCATTAATTTAGATCTTTCCAGGTTGGAAGATCCATCTGTAATCTGTACCACACCTCCTGCTGACAGCCTGTGAAAAGAGCTTGGATTAAGGACCCTTGCCCTCTCTTTGAATGCTTTTTCTTGCTTCACTGGCAAGTCTATCCCTTCACTGGCATTAGAACCTATTTCTTCAGGATTTTACACATACTAAAGACCATTTGAGACATCCAGCCTTGTGGACAGAACAACTACTGGATTTTTGGACCTTCCATTTGTAAGGCAGCCATTTTTGGATTAGTTGGCCTGTAAGCCATTCTAATAACCCCCTCCCCATGTATAGATTCATTCTATAAATCCTACTCATTTAGGTTCTCTACCCAAGGGTTGTGCCCTTTGGCAAGCCTCTAAGTCAAACATAGTTAACATTTTGATTCATAATAGTAGCAGGATTATAGCTATAAAGCAGCAACACATATAATTTCATGGTTGGGGGTCACTACAACATGAAGACCTGTATTAAAGGGTCACAGCATTAGAAGGATGAGAACCACTGCTCTAGAAAATCCGGACTAAAACAGTGCTGAGTCAGGAGGTGAGAGGTCATAAATTCAGACACAAACATGAAGCAGAAAGTGGAGAGTATTGCTAGTCCAGGTAGTTCTTTAACACCTAGCAATATCCCTACCTCAAACTCCTAAATACAGGGATTACAGGCATGAGGAAGTAGGTCTTCATCTCTAACAAATTTTAACCAATGCCTTTATTGAGAGTCATGAGGCCTTTTGGACCAGTATATGAGCACCTATTCTCCAGGTGAGGCAAAAGTCCACAGGGACAGTCTCACCTGGCAAGGACCAGTGGTCTTCAAATCAGTGTAGAATACTGCTGGGACCATGCGGCCTGAATGATCTCTTGTAATATTGATGCTTCTTGTGGCAGCTTTAGTGTCATTTTGTCAACCATGCATAGAATTGATGTGATCATTCTTGGAAACTCCATTCTTTCTCATATAATTTCCCCTAAAATTCTTTGGGAGCTGATGCTTCTCAGGTTTCTTGTCTGAGGGTGCCAGCTATCACTCTAGACCCTGGGAACTGTTCTGATTCAGTGCTGACAAACTCTGGCTGCAGACCATCCCTATTTCTGTAAATATGTTTTGAATAGGATTGTTGTCCTTGAAAATGTGTGCCTATGTCAATAGTCTTTTAGTTTTGTAAACACAGGATGTAACTGGCTTGATATTTTGTCAAGCTAGCAAACTGATAAATGTTTTTGGTTTAAAGATATTTTGACATAAAAATCAGGGAAAGTATATTTGACATTTTATTTTTGCCAGAGGTTAATGTTGGAGGATGGGAAAAACTTACTTGTTAGTATGGAAAATCATGCTTGCTTTTGATGTATAAATAATAAATAAATGTTTTTCATTGCCTAAGCTTGGCTTTCTTGAGACTTGCTCTGTAGGCCAAGTTGGCCTCAAACTCTGATCCACCAGCCTCTGCCTTCCCAGTGCTGGGATTAAAGGCGTGCCCTATCACACCTGGCTCTAAGCTTTGTTTTAGTTTCTTTTCACAATTTGGAAATTTAGCTGGGTAGGATCTTGCCCTGAGGTCACTACTCCCTTTATTCCATTTCCTAATCTGTTTATCTCCTTGAATACAGAATTTAGGTTTATTCCACTTCCAAATGCTCCTTTTCACCTCAAAACTTACTTTTTGAAATTTACCCTGCTTAAGTTTGTTCTATTTTAATTACAAATCTTCATTAGAGTTGCCACTAATATCCATATGACAGTCTAAATGAGGCTGTTTTAAGGTTTCTTCTGACACAGGAATTAATCTGAACTCTTTATTTTAGCCTCAGGACTAAAGGGCAAAAGGATGCCACTTCCTTCACCAAAGTATCACAAGAATGGGCTCTAGGCAGCATTCTACAATTCTTCTGTGAAACATTTTGAGCCAGCTCCTAACATTTTAAATCATTATCAGCACCACTGTCTTTCATGCTCCTACTAGTGTACCCCATTAAGCAGTGCTTAAAGAATCCCATGGTTTTTTAAACCTAAAGTACCAAAGTCCATATTTCTGTAAACAAAAGCATGGTCAGGCCTATCACAGCAAAACCTATTCCTGGTACCAACTTCTGTCTTAGGGTTTTTATTGTTGTGAAAAGATACTATAACCACAACTCTTTTTTTTCTCTCTTCTCTTTTTAAATTTAAAATTTATGTTTTTCATTTTACATACTAGTCCCTGTTCTCCCTCCCTCCCCTTTTCTAGCCCACCACCTCTTCCCATT